TTCTCTCTTCTGCATTTCCCTCTTCTGTTGCTTTCTAATTTTATACTTATTTTTCAAACTATTCTTTTTTGGGGTTGTTTTTCCCAATCTTAAACTTTCCATTCTCTTTTCCCCCTCTCCTCCCCCCCCCACATAAAATTACTTGTTCATTAAAGATGGCTTCTTCTTTGTCCCAATCTTCTTGTTCTGCAGGCATTTCTTGTTGTTTCTCAAAGTTCCAAATCTCCATTTCTAAGAATAGAAATATGAAGCCAAAAGAACCTCTCCCTTCTTGTGCTTCTTCTTTGTACTTTTTAAGTTCCATTTTCAGTTCTTCTAAAAGTGGTGCCATTTTAAACTCTTTTAAACAACCACCCGATTGATTTTAGTCATTCAAATGCAGTAACCAAAGATCCAGAAGTCACCAAGTAATACAAATACTCCCAAGCTGTTTCTTCTTACTTCTTTTTTCACTTTCTCTTCCTGGGGTTTTACTATTTTGTTACCATGTTTCAGTTAAAATGTACCTTTTAGAAGTCTTGTTGAGATTTTACTGTAAGTTCTTTTCAATTCCAGGCAGTCTCCTCCCTTCCAGATCCTGCCCTTTTATTCCTTTTCTCTCCTTTCCTGCTTTCAAAAGCTTTTAAGTATCCAGAAATCTTTATTATCCCTTTGACATTTTATTTTCAGCTTAAATGCCTATTGATGTCAAAGTGGATTTTTTTTTTCCAATTTCTTGCTTAAGTCTCTTAGCTGTCAGTATAGGGAAAGGGAGAGGAGAAAAAAACCCCAAATCCTTTCCCTTTTCTCTCTCCTTCGCTGCTTGAAAATCTTCTTTGGGAACAGTTATTTTTTTTATAGTTTAAATTCCAGGGTACCTTATTTGTTGCTTTTTCTGTTTGACCCGGTCAATCAAAACTTTCTCTTCTTATCTTCCTCCTGCACATTTTTTTCTGGTCGAGTTCTTCTTTGGGGTGGCCATTTCTGACCACCGCTACAACCGCCTTTGGGAAAGGGAGTAATTGCCAGCTGAGGAGAAGAGATGTGGCTCTCCTCAACCCTGCAGGCAGTCTCCCCCCTCTTCACCACCTCTACGGGGTGGCTCAGCCCCTGAGCCCTTAGCTGGCTCAGGGCACTCCAGCGGCGAGCACGGATCGAAACCACACAGAGTCGCGGTTTCAGTCTGTCGCCGAAGAAGCTCAAACCGGAAGCCATTTATTTTTCATGTAGTTACAGTAGATCTGCTTTTTAAAATGAAAGTTAAAATGGTCCTTTAAGTGAAAGTGAAAGTTGTCCTTTCTCCTCGCCATTGTGCGCCCTGGGAATATCAAATCTATGAAAGGATTTTTTCATGTGTGTGTATCAAAAATGGGATAGGTCAAATAGAAGGTTAAATAGAACTCAGCATCCTGCTGAGTTTTTAAATCACTGAAAAGCCCTCTGCCTGAGTAGCATTACACTTGTATATCAGTTTGATATACCTGTTATATATCTGGCTCAAGAGATTTGTTCTCCCAGTTACAATTGCTAACTGTTTCTCTACCACTCCAAACTGAGACCTTGTTATGTTCAAAGGGACTCTGTCAGAAACCTATTGACTCAACATTAAGTGGAGGCAGCTCTGTCCCTTGGAGAGATTCAGTACAATTTGACCTTGCCTTCATCCGGAGCAAGAGGCTAATTATGAAATACATAAGAGAAGAAAAAGGGTTTTGACTCCTTAATGAACTTTAGTGGTTTATAAAAACCTTAGATTCTACTGATACAGTAAACACCAGCACCGCTTCAAAATCTCTCTATTATTGTAGCTTCAAAAGCTGTCTACCATTGTAATGTTATAGTTTCAACTCAGTGTCTCTTTCTCAGTAGTCTTATACAATGTATTGGGCTTACATTTTTTTCAAAAAATAATCCTGATAGCAGAAAGACATTCTGCTTAACTCTCATTCTATCTCTCCCCCTCCCTCCCTCCCTCTCTCCTAAATATATAGGCAGGTTTCAGCAATTCTTCCTGGAATACCATACTATTTGTGGGTTGATTAAATAGAATTTAATCATTGGAATATAGAGATTCCAGTCTCACTATCAGACAAAAAATATATATCAGTATAGATTTTTGTAAATTAAATTAAATTAAATTAAATTAAATTAAATTAAGGAAGCTGTGGCAACATAACAGAGAAGCTGTCTTCAAAAAAAAAATTTTTTATTTTAAATCAAATCTTCATTTCCAATCTTGGAAAACAAAATCAAAAAAACTTCCTCTGTTGGCATGATTATTTCATAATGTGTCATTCAATTTTCCCATTCTCAAATTAGTAGTGCTTAACAGGATGCTGAAACTGCAATCAACCTTTAAAATAGATTCATTTAATATTCTGCCACCATCAGAGCATTTTAATCTTTCAGGACACTCTGTTACAGATTATTTTTATTAAAACTTTCAAACAAGAAGCTAAAGCTAACATAAACTGATGGACAGTAAGAAAGAAAAAGAAAGAAATCCAAGAAAAAGCAAAAAGTCCAAGAAAAGGAAAAAAAGTGAAAGAAAAATGGAAAAGAGAGGATAACAATACAAAGACATGGTTTCCTCACAGCAGTTATAATTACATCTTGACCTCCCTCTAAAGTTATATCATATTATTATTATTTCTAGTCACCATCAAAATCATAAGTCACAAGTTCCTTTTTCTCATTTGTATGCAAAAAGTTGATAAGAGACTTTTGGCCAGTGATAAATGTAGATAATTTTTAATACATTTATCTATTTCAGCAAAATTGTCAACTTCACCAACTAATCATCCATAGTGGTAGTGTTGAATCTTTGCATTTCTCTGCATATATTTCCTGATATCAAATAGTCAACTTGGAAAAAAGAAAGTTTTCCAATATAACTGAGCTCATATTGAAACTTTTCTAATATGACTGAACTCATATAATTGAAAGGTTATTTTCCAAAACTCAACAACGTAGTGTGTTTTTAACATAATACAACTGATAATTGATAGGGTACCTATAACCTATTTCAGTTTTCCTTTTATTTACATATCCATCTTATCTTCTACTCTTCTCCCCTCCATCTCAGTTTAAATCTTACATTAATTTAGCCACTTCATCTCTGTGACAAAATGTCAAAAAATTTCTTTTTAATAAAATCTGGTAGCTGGGAAAGGTGGTATGGCTTCTATTAATTTTTGGCTGCCACAGATTAATATGGCTATCTTCCTACAATAAATTGTTTCTATGTTTCTCTGACTTCAGTGTGAGCTTAGAAATGTTCCCTATATAATATAGGAAAAGTCAAATTCTCCCTTTATTTTAAATAAGATGATAGAAACCATAAAGAGGTTTCCAATAGTTAAAATAAGCAATGACAGGCATATTGGAGAATACAACTCCCACCTCAGAAATTTTTCTTCAGGATTTTAAAACTGAGCTAATAATAAAACGGATATAGATGAAAATTGGCTGATTTCATTGTTTTGGTAATATTCCCGATGCTTTCTAAGAGTAGTTATTTCACTGACTTAGATTTTTTTTTCTTCAAATTTCCTCTTGGGAACAAAAATTCTTAGCACCACAACAAAGAGAACACAGTCTATATACAATATTTTATCTCAGCATTTAGGGACTGAACCTGCCTCTTGAATAGCTAGATGCATTAAAACGCTGCTTTATTACTAAATGAAATACAAAATTAGTCATCCCACTGTTTCCACAGGAAATGAAATACTCCATTTATTAAGGATTTATTTTTGGCATATTTGAAAAATAATGTAATAGCTTTTTCAATAGCTAAGGACAAGAGTTTCCTTTTTTGAGCCAACAGCATTTTTTTCAGTTTTCAAACTTCTACTGGCAAATACAAGAGCTAGGACCTACAATTAAGATGTCAAACCTTGCTGACTCCACTTTAAAACTGTTTCATTGCCACAAAAAAGTCACTATCAGAAGAACTGAAAATGGAGAGACTACTTTGCTAATTGGAATGTGTTAGAGTTGTGACTGAACAATGAGTAAATCTACAAAAATGCTTTTCTAGGATCTCAAGTTCTCAATAGACTAAACACTTATCTGAGCTTATGTCAGGTTAGCTTTATGTTTATGACAGTTCTAAAAGTAGCTGGTTGCAGTGTAGATACTAGCAAAGATAAAGCAGTTACTTCCTTTATTGGTAAGCACCCTGAATTCCAATATTTCAGCATTATGGAATATGCATGGCTGCTACCAAAAATATCAGCTATTATCTTTCATATCTCCCTTTCTGGAGAATGTCAACCAACACGAAACATCTGTCCTTCTCCCTTGAGTTTCCCTATTCCTAGCTTAAGTAGCAGCCAGTGACTGGGGGTGGGAAACTCACAGTGATGTCACACAAATATGTTCCACGACACAGATCTTAGAACAGCAGTCTGATTAGGTTTTGTAATACTTAATCATTGTGATAATCTTGCCTGGATTCTACTTGCCAAAGAGAAATAAAGGTGGATTAGATAAATTCAAATGGATAACCCAGATGTAACAGAGCTTAGAAAAAGAAACTGTTCTGATTCAACAACAATTTGTTAAGAACAGTCTTAATAGCCCAGACTGATCTGCTAAGCCTAAGATTTATGATTAAATCATTGCACTGCAGAATTATCACTTCACAAACAGCAAAAAGACTGGCAGACATTCAGTTGGTAAAGAACTATGCCAAAAGCACTTTCCTAAATAGAGAGACTTCCTCAACTTCTAAGAGCAAATGAAACTAAACAATGCCCCTACATAATTTGCATTAAGTACAAGACATAAGCACAAATCAGCAAGCAGCAACATAAAAATGTTTGGGGGGAAAGGACCCAAAGGTAAAACATTTGCCCAAATAGTAATTTTTTTTAATATCCCTCAGTATGTAGCTGGGAGTTAATTTTACACATATTATTGAAACAAGAGCCCAACGGGGAATAGCATCTGTTTCCAATCATGACATCTGAAGATCACTGGATAAGAACTGCTGGTACTATCAGGCGTATACTTACAGTGAATTTGGCCGGTTGGGTTTGATAACTTCTGCATTAGATTCAGTTGAGTTCTTGTTTGGCTGAACAGCATTATTGGACGGGAGCAAACTGTTGACGTTTGATGATGATATGACCGATTCTAGGCTGGAGTTAATTATACTGTTTCTGTTTTCCTCTGAAAAGTAGACCAGAATGAACTGATGCTGTGACATGATTTTTATGACAATATTTTTTTAAAAGAGAGAAGAACATTGGGATTTGAAAACATATATATTAGAATTCAAATTCAAATTTCAATGTATTGCAGTCATAGACTAGTATTATATATTAGAATTTCTACATTAGATTTAAAAATATTGTTATACTATTTAGTCTCTTATTTCTACATTTAGACAAGGCTGGGTTTTTGCTCTTTCCTCTAAAGATGTTTAGCTAAAATATTTCATGCTTTAAGCATTTTCTTCTCTGTGCAAGAACTTTAAAAAATCCTATTCTCTTAATATTCCTGCCTCTTCCTTAAGAATAATCTGCTCCAAATTATTTAGGGTAATAGCTGATAGTAATGGTGAGTTGTGGTTCCTGCTACAGTTCTAGAACCCCAGAACACATTTTAAAACCAATGACAATTTGTTATGTATGTACAAAGGAAACTTACGCCTTTTATTCTTAATAGAATCTTCTGGTTGCAATCAGTCCTATAAATCTTTTCTAGCTTTATGAATCAATATATAATCACAGGCCTCACTAGTTCTTTGCTACTAGGTTCCATTGTCTTAAGACTAAGGAATCTATAGTTAAAAATGAAATCTATAGTTTACATTTCACAAAAGACAAGAATGCAGCATAATACTCAGCACTGGAATAGGACAACTTGGTTCAGCCAACTCGCCACAGCCAACTTGCTGTAGCCAACTCCCTGCAGGACAACTCCCTGCAGGACAATTCAATTTCAGTATTTAAAATAATTTTAAAATATTTTAATTTTTCTCATTCACATTTCATTTTGTTCACCTTTTGAATCCTTTCTTTAATAATTCTGTTCCACCATTTCTTCGATAGTAGTGTAGTTCTTGTCCCATTAGCAAGTTATCCTGTGTGAGTTGGCCATGACAAGTTGGCCATGGTGAGTTATGAAGCAGCATATAAGTCTAAGTGCTATTGCTATTATCTTAGACCAGGGGTCCCAAACTTGGCAACATTAAGACTTGCGGACTTCAACTCCCAGAATTCTCCAGACAGCTGGAGAAAGTTGCCCAGTTTGGAGACCTCTGTCTTAGACACACTCAGCACAGAGAATAAAGATACTTACGCTTTTCATTGTGTTGCAGTGTATGGAAAAGTGTTAAGGGCCTTTCACTGCAAGATGGTGGCTTTGAATCTGTACTCTTTTTTCGAGATAAGAGCAACTGAGAATTTGACTGTAGAGTATCAGGCACCGTGTTAAATATCTATGATTTTTAAACAAAGAAAAGAGAATTTGAAATAGTTAGAAACTTGATGTAAAAAGGGGGCAATTTGTATCAAAACCTAAGAAATGATGTGTGGCAGTAGTAACTCTGAAAAAATGGCTATAAAATATAATCAAAAGATTTTTGATAAAAGAAAGAGAAAATATTTTTTAGGTTAACCATTCAACAGCACTCATTACACTTTTGTAGTTTTAAGAAAAGTCTAACTCTAAATTGTCTGAGGTAATCTACTTTTGGCAGACTGTATGCAGACAATACAATGACCTGCACACTAATTATTTTGGCAATCTGTATCAGACTACAATTCAGATAGTAATTACCAGGGCCAAGAAGTTTCAAGCTGCTATTTCTTTGCTGACACAGCTGATTCAAATACTGCGTGCTAATCTTCAAAGGAAAGTAAGCAAGTTTATGATGAGAGGATGCACTGATCCACTGAAAATGTACAAAACAATTAATAATCTCCCTGGATTGATAATATTCTAAACCACTCTTCTTTTTTTCAATTAGCTAGAATTAGCAAAGATTAAACAAAACTGGGATTAAACAAAACTGGGAATTAACCAAACCTCTTCTGAGAGAGAAAAAGTCTTGATCTTCATGAATTGCACAGAGGATTTACTGTACATATACATAATTTTAACATGATGACTTCCATATTTTCTATGTTTTTTTTTTCTTTGAGCTGAAATTACTTCTGATGATTCCCAAAGCATCATTCATTTGGATCTACCCCCGCATCACAAACTGTAGTGTAAAGGGAACCATAACAGCTTAAATAAAGCAGCTCAAGCTGGTACAAGATTATTCATTCCAATTAAACTGGTGATTCATTCAATGTCACACCCACATTATTTTTTCCCCTTCAACAACTCTTATTTTCCACGATGCAATTTCTGTTATGAGTGGTCTGGGATTTCAAAATTTCCTCAGTGAAAGGATACAGAAATCCAAACATTTCATCCCCCAATCAATAAAAATGTTCAGGAAAATGAGCTGGCAGACGCCTGGAGACAAGCCCTATTACTTGTCAAATTCCTGTCTCTTCCCAATGTTCTGTGCAGCTGAAAGCTGCTAAAATATTCACTAGAATCAGTAAACATTGGTAAACAATCACTTTTTAAAAACATGGAACATGCATGACTCCAATATAAATTACCTTTTCATGGTTTTCTATTAAAATCTCAACTACAATATTTTGAAACTTGATGTCCATAATTGCTGCAACGGTTTCTTCTTGTGGTCGCATTAACGTTGGGCCAAAAACAACTCCTAGATTGGCGACAGTCATAAGATTCTGTTTGTGGTTTTCAGCAACACTGCAATGAAACAAGCACAACAGATTTTCAACAGGCCCGGCAAACTTAAGTGTTAGTGCATTTTACCCCCAAAATAATTTTGGAACAACTATTGTGGTATTTGAATTTCTGCAGAGTAGACTACAATTCTGGTTCTTAATAACTAAGCCAATGGAAAGATCAGTGTAGGCTAATTGATAATAACACTTCTATAAAGGTCTGTAAACCCACATATAATTCAGGGAATAAAAATTGCAAAGAAGATGACAACATGTTTTGAACTAGAGATCAAATTTAGAAAAACAAAGTGACCATTATTGGTTACAATATTTTACCTGAAATATGCTAAAGTAACACCCACCATCTTGAAAAAATAAGCAGGATTCTGAATACAGAAGATCTGAGTAGTTGATAAACTTGTTTTCAACTGACTTGTTGATAAATCCATTTAATTCAATTAATCACAAGTATTTCATGACCTGGAGAAAGGATATGGGCTTGTATATATTGAACGAAATGCACTGAATAATGTTCTGATCAATAGCCAGAACTGTGGACTGTTAATAGATTATTTAATTGTACTATTTATTTTGCTCAGACTCAGAGGTACCTGATGTTAATTTAATGCATACCTCTGACTCACTGAGGTCAGTCATTAGACAGGTTTCCATTGAATTCACTGAAAATCATCACCATACAAGCACAGTGTTTCAGCAAGAAATAAATCTCAAATAAATATGACTGAAAGATAAGCAAGGAAGAGAGATAAGATTGTGTATACTTTGGCATGCCTGTATCCTGAAACATTTAATATATGAATTTGCAGCTGAAAATAATTTCTGATTTTCCTACATGGATCCAATAAGTGAGGTGCAGGTCACAAAAAGAAGAATAGTCCACTGAAAAGAACTGAAGTGTAGGAAAATATGTATGTACTAGACTGTACTGTCTTCCATTGTCAAGAATGGGACACACACGCACTTAGAAAGAGAATATATTCTGAGATTCCTAAAATTGACTCAGCTTTCCACCCTTCTGAAGTCAGGTAAAATGAGGACCCAGATTGTTGGGGGCAATATGCTGACTCTGTAAATCACTTAGAGATGGCTGTAAAGCACTGTGAAGTGGTATATATGTCTAAGTGCTATTTCTATTAAAACAAAATTCCTAAGAGTGCTTGCAGAAATCACCAGCTCAGATACAATGTGTAAAGTACAAACTCAAAACATCTTGCCATCGCTATGAATTGCTACTATGGAAACATGATATGAGAATCCATGTCATAATTAGTAGTGCTACCAGATATAACAGTAAAAAACCCACAGATATCTTAACATTTTTATAGCATCTTAGGACCATAAAGCATACTGATAACCTATTTTAGAAAGGGTTTATTTAAAAAAAACAAATTCTTACATACTATGACACACCTTTCAGAAACATATACATTGTTCACAATTCTCCTGTTACTTTAACAGGAAAAATTTAGTAGTCTTGAGGAAGTTTTTTTGAGGCCTCCATATGAGGAAGTAGTTTTCCATAATAATTTACAGACATACGTGTTTCTATGTATATACAAAAAAATAATATTAACATCAGACCAACAATCAAGCAATAAATGATACTCCAAACAAGGAACTGTCAACAAGCTAACAGTAAATAGCTCAACCAAAGAACCACCAAGATCACTCCCACCAACACTGAGAGGGCAAAATATAAATCATAAAATATAAAACCAGAGCAAACCCCACTCCCTACTTGCACTGATAATGTTATCAAGTTTGGGTAATGAAACGTCTGGGAAAAAACAGTCAAGCTCAGAAAGCATCAAGGATCCCTCAAAACACACACACACACACACACACACACACACACACACACATTCTAATTCTATAGACCATTATAGGCTGCTCTCTTCATATCAGCATTAAAGAACAATGCCTGAATATAATTGCTTTGAATCACGATTATATCCTCAGCTCAGGAAAAGGCCACTTGTATGAAAGCAGCAGATGTCTTTCAGTGTACACTTTTCTAGGAAAACAGATGAGAACATGATCGACACAGGTAACATGAATAGCACAAAACAAATACTAGCATTTATTCTTGTCATTACAGCAGTAGAGAACAGTACAGTGTTTAATATAAAATGTACTAATATGCCACAGAAGAAAATGACACAGCAAAGAAAATATCTGAAAGTCAGAGGGGAAAATTGTATGAAACATGTTATGCATGCATTCAGTTTAGAAACTTAATAAGAAATATCCTTTTAAAGTAACATTTAATTTAAATTAACCCAATGGTTATTCAATTTATAATTATTGTTTAGAATTTTCTGATAGGCATACACAAAATGGAATATAGTAACTATTGCCTTAGCACCAAAACCATTTTATATTCAGAACGATTTTTACATACTTCTGCATTCTTCTTTGTCTGCCTTTCTAAAACAACCTGCAACTTTAATACTTAAGTTATAAAGAAATCTTATGTCTTAAGAGTATTGTCCTAACTATGCAAGTTAAATAGTTCTGCTTGCTTAGTCCAATTATCTCCAGTGATAAGATTAAAGCCCTTCTACACAATGACTCTGTTTCAGTTGTGTGGATGTGTAAAGTCAACTGTTTTTGTGTAGGACATGGTTGTCCAAACTTTTGGCTCACCTGGGCCACATTGAATGAAAAGGATTGTCTTGGCTACATCAGTGTATATTGATGGATATATAATATAGTTAATGTATGTAAATCACATAATATTATGAAAAGTTGACAACCTTGTGGGGCCGTATTACTAGCTGTCCAGGGCTGCATGCAGCTCATGGACCGCGGATTGGACGTCTGGTCTAAGGTATTTGAATCCCCAGCAACACTGGCATTTTCTCAAAACAATATCGTACCCTGTTGAAACTCTTTCTCACTATTGGTTTCAAGTCCTCACTTTAGCAAAACTCTCAAGGGAAAAGATGGCTTGACAGCTTTGCAATAAAAGCAGTCTCATAAGACCAATTATTTTTTAGCTCATGTGTGACCATGTTGCCAAAAGGGTGAGGAAACACTATTTCTCGCTCCTTTATTTACTCAGTCTATATATACTAAATATAGATCAAGAGAAGCTGGATGGAGAAGATCAGCGTGGTTTTAAAATGGATGAAGAAACATCAGTAAAATAAAAACTGTGCTAATGACACCATTCTGATAACTGAAAATACAATAGTCTCCAAACTCTAGAATAATAGTCAAGGACACAGTGAAAAAAATGGGACTAAATAGGGACAAAAGTTAAACATAAAAAAAGACCGAATTAATGAGAATAGGTACAACCGGCTTTAAAACTGATACTGAAGATCGTGAAGTGGTGGGTACTTTCTGTCTTTTAAAACCAACTGTCAACAGTAAAGGAAGAAGCAATCAAGAAACATGCTGCAGTCTAGTGCTCAGTAGAGCAGCCACAAAGACTTGCAGAAAAAATATTCAGATGCCTTGATATATCTATGCCTCCAAAGATCAGTATAATACAAGCAATAGTATTCCCTCTGATACTCTATGGAAGCGAAAATTAGACTTTGAAGAAGCAGGATAAGAAGATTATTGACTACTGACTCTTGAACTTTGGAATTGGAGAAGGCTGCTGAGAATACCCTGAACAGCGGCAAAAACAATTAAGTAATCACTGAAGAAATCAACCCAGAGTTCTCCCTCGAGGTTCAAATGCCCAAGCTCAAATTATCCTATTTCAGAACTATTATGTAAAGACACCGTTTTCTAGAGAAGACTTTCATGCTTGGAAAACTGAAAAAAAGAGAAGAGAATGACTAGGTGGAGCGGCTCAATTACAGTGGCGATGAGTGCACTATTGAAGAATCTGAAGGACCAGATTTGGAACAGAATGTCATGGAGAAAATCTATGCAGTTGCTAAGAGCCAACGTCAACTTGATGGCACATAACCAATCAATAATCAGAACAATTCACACAAGCTAAATGTGACTCAAGGGGGTGGTGGCAGTTACTTTTTCATTTATCATTTATGTGGAATGGGAAATTTTTGCTGCTCCAGGATTTGTACCTCTTCAAGGCAAAATGATTAAATTAAATTCTTTGCTCCCAAATTGCAATCTGTTGCATTTAAACCACAGAAGACAAGTGTGGATTGTTTTAAAATTACATTAGTGCTATTGAGGTGTGGAAACGTAAGTGGTATGATAAACCCCTAACTGACTGGTAAATCATATGACAAAAATGGGGAATTAAAATCTAGTGAGAAGATAGTAAAATTAAGCTTACAACTAAAATAACCTCTGGATTCAGGGAGAAGGAATGAGTGAGCACTAGCATTAGGTATAAATTATTTTTGAGTAGTGGTCTTCATTTTATGAAAAGCAAAGGAAAATTTACAATGCTCATTTACATTATGTTCTGAATAAATCTCAACAAAATTTCACTATTATTACAGTCATTTAGTAGCAGCTCCATTTTCTACAATATCCTAGAGGAACATGAGGCAATTTCTCACTTTGCGTTTGTCGAGAAATCACGCAAGTTTAAAAGACTGAACACATTTCAGAACCGTGAAAGGTTTCCTGCAAGTATTTTGAATTGTTTTCTTAAAGAAAAATGAAAGTGTTTGAGGTTCCAAACGTGATTGAAATAGAATGAATTACAGGAACAAAGTTGCTATGTATTCTTCAGTATAATCGAGCCAAAGAAAAGCTCAAAGCAAGCACTCGATCGTTAATAAAAGTCCTTCTACCCAGGGGTGGGATTCAACCGGCATTACTACCAGTTCGGTATTTGCATTTTGCACATGCATGTACTATACCACGCAAAGCAGCTGAGGTTGAAAAAACAGGCAATAAAGGTCAGCTAAGAGCCCAGGCGGGTGGGTGGGCCAAACAGCAGCAAACACAGAACCGGTTCTGTGTTTGCTGCTCTTCAGAGCTACCGGTTCTATAGAGCCGGGCAGAACCGGTAGCATCCCATCCCTGCTTCTACCCCAAATTAAGGAGGGGGGGAGGAGAAGA